AGAGAGAGAGAGAGAGAGAGAGAGAGAGAGAGAGAGAGAGAGAGAGAATCTCCATTGTTGTTTGAGCCTGGCTCCAATGACTCCTTGATTTTTGCATCCACTTAATAGCCTCCAAGAGGAAAGCAACTTTCCAGTAGGAAACAAAAGGTTTCTTTACAGCATAGTTTGTGGTTTGAAGATTTCATACCAGTGACTGAGGTGTGACCTTCACTTTTCCCAGTTCTTGTCCACAAGCAATACATCTCTCTAAATTTACCACCTACAGAAATTTTGCCTATTTCTGTACACGCTCTCTATATTGAATTATTGTACATCTGTGTACAATATATGAATGGTTGAGGGTTGTTAAAATTATACATTGGGAAATCTCTTATCAGACATCCTATGAAAGCAATTTGAAAGCGAGGGAAGTAACTAGAAAATATTTAGCTTATAGTTAACAGAAAATATGAGCTTTTCAGTGAAAAGACATGAAAAGTCTTATCTTTGATATAAATGTTCAACATTCACTTCAGCCAAGATCAAATACTAAAATAGTTTAAATGTTATGCTGTCTCAAGTTTTCTTAAACCAGTAAAATGTAGATAAAATATGTCACTATATACATCATCCTCTTAAGATTTAAAATGAATTGGACTAGATGCATGTAAAATGCATGTTATTACAAAACTATATTTTGTTTTTCTTTTAACATAATCAAACAGATGTTTTTCATAAATATGTATATTTTTTAAAATTCCACAGTATTCATTTTTTTAAAAAAAAGTCTTAAAAAGTGGTTTCATGGATATAGATTAACAAGACAGAAAAGGTATAATTGTCTGGCAGAAAACTGAGCTGTGATAGAAGCAAAAATTATAGGCAGGTCAAACCAGGGTATTAGAATGGAAATGTTAGGAGCTAACCAGGGAGATTTAGAAGTTAAACTCTTTTATGAGACTTGAGTGGAAATATGTGGTCTTCCAGATATATCTCTTCTTCATCCCTCATCAATGCCTGTGCCAGTGCTGTGGAAGATGAGATATTTTTGATTTTGAGAAACAAAAAGAGCCCTTGTCGTGTGATTAGTTTGAGCAAATTCATCTAATGATTGCCCAATCCATGAAGAATTTTCTTTATGAGAAAACTTAGGCTAACCAAAACATTTTAAATATATAATTTAAGACAAATGTCTTCCTTTTCCCTTGTAAATTTTTTACATGGTAACTGCCAAATCCTGTGCTATTGATATTTATTCCTAGAACAGTGAACATGGATTAATTGCAGGTCTCACTGTTTAATTATGCTTCTGTTAGCAAAGAATCTGGTGCATTAAAAAAAGAAATATATTTATTACTTGTTAAAAATAATTCTAAAAAGGGAATCAGATTATGAATGTCATATTATTCTTTCTCTAATACATTATCTTTTAATTTTCAACATAACTATCAAAGTTAATAAACTTAATACACATATCAGGGGATTTATTATCTCCATCTCTTTCCAAAACAAATTCCTCATATGTTGAGCGTAGTTCATTGTCCATAGTTCATCCAAGCACCATACCCCTAGAAATCTGACCATATAGTTAAAAATCAGAAAAGTTATACCAGTTAGCCATTAAGTTATACAAGTTAGAATTAAGACTGCATGGTCTTCAGTTTTGCATATGACTTGAAGTTAAATATCATCAAAGTGTCCTTTAGTAATTCTGAATCAAAGACTACATATTTCAAATACACATGGGACTTTCCTATATAATGCCTTGGTAAATTTGTAAACTCTTGCTTTGCATAGTCTCTGTCATGCAACAAAATTGTTCTTCCTGTTAAATCAAAATTATGGTGTTTAAGATCCTGGAAAACGTGTTTGCTATATTTTAATCTTTCAGGTTTTCAACAATTGCAAGATTTTTAAAGGCTGAAGAATTCATCCTGTGCAAGGACAAAAATCCCTGAAACGTCTGCTACTATAATGTTTATCATTAATTATGGAATAATCAACTGCTCATATGTTGAAAAAAAATTACTGAGATAAATAAACCATATTGTACCTGGTGTCTCCTGGATGCGCTTGAAGGACCACGTTCCTAGAGTTCTTTCAGATGGTAAAAAAGAATGAGAAGAGGGGCTCTTTCCCTAACATCCAAGTCTGAAGATCTAGTCTGCTGCTCTCAACAGAATTAGGCTGCTGTTATATACAAACACTCTTCTCCTGAGCAATAGTCTAGCTATTGATTTAGTACCAATCACAGCACTACCTATTATATGGGTGCTATAGCAACAACAAACAAACTTTTGACAACAGAGGAGCTGTGTATTGTTTTCTGAGGATTGTGCAGTCTTGACATTCATGTGTTACATGAATTAAACATGAGAAGGTTGATACTGCATGAATACTGTCCCCAAATATCTTCTTAGACCCTCTAAAAAGATATAGTGATGACCTTATAAGGGAGGTGCCTTTAAGGGAGATATAGTGAAAATGAATGGTGGGAGGTTGTTCTTGAAAATTCTGCTTAGCCTGCTGAATGCCTGCCAACCATATGTAACATACTGTTCCATTTCCTTTATTGCATCTCCTTCCACTGAGATCCATTGCCAAGGTACATGTAGTGGTCTACTACATCTACTTCTTCTCCAGATATAAAAACTGGAAATGAGCTGGTCACATAGTAAGAAGAACTGATCACAGGTGGAGCAAAGCAGTCATAGAATGGATCCCACTTAATAAAAAGCTTCCACAAAAGAGTTCTAAAACAAGATGGATCAATGATACAGCAACTATTGTGGGGCCAATTGGCAAAAGAAACTTCATATGTGGAAGAAGGGCCTTCATCCTGCAGTAGATAGACCAGTGTTGGCGAACCTTTTTGGCACCAAGTGCTGAAACCGAAGCATGTGTGGGTTGCATGAGAAGGAGGTAGAGGAGGGTCATCTTCAGGGAAGCTGCCACCGTGGCTCATGCTCAATCCTCAGCTATGGGCCTGTCCCCCTTTCTGTCATACCTTCCTCCCGGATCCCATTCCCACCCCACCAGCCCTTGTATTAGCGAGGTTGGCGTCGGCCACGGGTGGATTGGCCCAGTGTCTCGGGCAGAGAGCAGGTTGCACAACTGGGTCAGCAGGGAGCATCGGGAGAGGATCAAAGAGCCACATGTGGCTCCGGAGCCGTGGGTTGCTAACACTTGGGCTAAAGTGATGCATTTCTCAGGAAAGGCAGTCCTGAGAAAATGTAAAGCATGAGAAACAAATTCAAAACAATCCCATTTTTATTTTGTTTGGTATAGGATGGGCCAGAATAAAATTCTGATAGGCTTTCAAGATTGTGTACCCTATCACAATCATGGAGCATCTCAGAAATCCTTGCAGAATCTGTTTTGTGATCTGGACTACATCAAGTAGCTGGTATTTAGTAAAGGTTACTGATTGTAGTAGAATAACTTTTCAAGCAAGTGTTCTTAGAACTACAAGAAAGTGACTTCCCCCAGACCCTGTGCAATGGTTTGTTTGTTTGTTTGTTTGTTTGTTTACTTACTTATTTACTCCTCACATATGTTTGTGACTCCCCAAAATTGTTAGTCTAAATTATCATCCTTAAAGTTCCTCTCTAGCAATTGGGTGCTAAATTGGTAGATATGTCAATACAACCTTCTCTCTTTTGCTCAACTAGGCGGAGAAATGCATGAATGAGAGCACTGAACAAAGAAAAACATAGCTAATGCATATTCTCTATATCACTTCAATGTGTATAGTTTTCACACTTGCCTTATTTTATATTAGCAAAGGTTCCGCATTGTGCAAATCTTCCTATTTTCTGTCTTCTATTCTATTCTTTGCTTTGTTTTTAGGACTTTCTGCCACTTTCAAAAAACTTGATTATTGAAGAAGAAAATGCAATTGCTATATTTTTTTAAAGTAAAGTGTTTAAACTGACAAGCAGTTTGAGAACTTTGAGCATTTTGCTCTGCCTTAGGTTTCTCACTTCCATTGCTTTATAAATTTACCTCTTTTCTGGAATATGTTGTCATAGCCATACTAGGTTGCATGTAGTGAGAGAGGAGAGGCAAGAAAAAGAAAATAGCATTGAGAGACATGACAGGCCGAGATACAGCTAAATATTCTAAAACTATTTTTTTTTTAAAGATGAAGAATGGGGCATTCTAACTAAGAGGACAAATAACAGAAAAGAAATTGTAAAGGATAAATCCATGCCTATGGAATTATCCCAAAACAAGTCACCTAACCTAAATATACTAATAAACAACACCTTGTTGCTGTGGTGAGGCATTGTTTCAGCAGAAAACTATTTTTAATCCTGAACACAAAATGGGCTCAGAAGACTGGCTTAATTCTTGGATGAAAATAATAATTCCCCAGTAAGTTATTACCTTGATATAGTTGATGAAATAGTGGTTGAAATAACATGTTGAGGTAAATACATACTTGGTCTGGGTTACTTACGTCTACAAATATTGCTCAGACTTCAAATTATAAGTATTTCAGTCTTTCTAAAACAGGGATGTCAAACTCACCTCGTCACAGTGTCACATGACATAACAGGACATTCCCCCTCCCCCTTCACTAAACTGGTATGGGAGTGGCCAGCACATGGTGCATCTGGCCCGCGGGCCACGAGTTTGATAGCCCTATTCTTTAAAAAGATTATTTTAGGACACCTGAGGACAGGCAGCTAATTGTTGGGCACAGAGCAAAGTGCCCAGCATTTATAGCTCAATCTGTTCTCTATCGCTTACATCCCCACAGACCCAGCATGAATTTCTTAACCAGGTAGCTTGTATGTTGAGGGATCACCCGAGAAGCTGAAAAACACATTGCAATTTATGTTAGCAGTGAGAAAGAATTAAAATCATAGAATCTTCTGCAAATACACATACTCATTTATGTGCACTTCATAAACCAGGTTTACTAATAAATAACAAAATCCACAATACAAACTCCTTTGCATATCCTAAATTATAAGCCTCTCATAAGTATTCCATTCTAAACTTTTCACACTTATCATATAGCTATAAAAGCTGTGGTATTCACAAATTATTCATTATTTAAACAGTATGTTCCAAATGCTGCTAATAAGAAATGCTCAATGACTTCTGAAGGATGGATCCAATTAAGACCAATTTTAAGAGAGAAATAACTGCTGAAATTTTCATTTAGCAGCAGACATCTGTTTTATCCTTTTATAATTCCACCTGCACTTGGAAATGATGCATAATAAATATTTCTAATTTGAGCATCATGCTTTCCGCAGGCTACATTAATAAAAGACACATCAGAAATAGGGATCACTGTACTAAAGGAATGCAGTATTAACCATTAATGTTACCGCTTTCTTGTCACATACAGTGTTGATGGTAGTCTCATACTTTAATACTTTGTATCTGTACTTATGTCAAGGTTGATGTTGATATGTTTAAGGTCCAAAGAAAGGATACAAGAAAACAATGTATAAATTATACTTTCCATTAATGTCTCTTCTTATGTCATGACTTCTGCATTAAACAGGTCAGATAATGAAATGAGGAGGAGGAGCAACCCTGAAAAACAGGTGGAAAAAACACATCCAAGGCAACAGTCAAACAACCAAAATATGAGTTTGGGACAGAAATATAATTTGAGAAAGCATCTCATACATGATTCTCTGATTCCCTGATACTTTATTCTTAACAGAATAAAGGGAGGAAGGGAAGCAATTTCATTCATAATTGCAAGTGTTACAATAGCTTTATAATAACAGCAGCATCAGACTCATAACTTTGATTTCCTAATTCAGTCTAGCTTGAAAAGCTGACAGGTAAGATCACACAAAACACTACAGGGATAGAACATAGGATGCGTCCAAAATCCAGAACTCCTGACTTAAGGGAATTAAATTTGGGGAAATTATGGCTTCTTCAGTGCTACTGCCTATTACTGTTGTGCTGGGCTGCTCCTGTGGTCACATGGTCTTCATTTTCAATGTTCTGTGACGATTTCCCAGTCAATCTTATAAAACCTCTCTGCATTCCCCACTTACCTGTCCACTGGCAAAGAATGGACATGGCAGGGGAGGGGAGGGCAGGTAGAGGAAGGAGGGAGGGAGGGAGGGAGGGAGGGAGGGAAGGAAGGAAGGAAGGAAGGAAGGAAGGAAGGAAGATTTCCCTGCCAACTTTCCACAAAGAAATACAATAGTGAAATCAACAAGAAGTTGCTCCTGTTCTCACTGACTTTTTGCCCACTAGTGGTCACCCTGTTTCTTTGAAACAATGACCCAAAAGGGCACAGGTTATCTAGTATATTTCTGATTCTGAAAAAGAGAACAGGAAAGGGACTAGGAAGTCTCCTGTCACAGAAGTAACAAATAGGACTCCGTTAACCAACTTTTATTCTCACTACCATACTTAGATGTTGAGCCATTAAGTTCAGGTGACTGTCAGACAGAGCTGAACATTTGACCTGAAAATGTAACATTGCTGCTAGTTCAGTTCAGATTAATTTCTCCCTTGTGCAAATAAAAGTAAGAGTGTAAAATATAGCCTGAGGTTGTCTGAATTATTTATATGAAAACTATAGGTCAGATCCAAATCTACTACTTCAATAAATGTCTTCCAGATTTAATTATTTTCTAGATTCAGTCATAGACTCAGTTAAATATGTAACTCTACAAATCTCTGATGTATATCTCATTTATAGACATTTTATTCTAATAATTAAATTAAATATTTGGCACTTTCTATTATTGGAGGATTAACCAAAACTGCAGCAAGTCTGACCCCTGCTGGGCAAAAGTAGCATGAGCTTACTCCACAGGAAACAGATGTAGCCAATATCTATGATCTACACAATCACAAAAACAAGGCAGCAGTGGGGAGGGGGGAGATTTCCTGTCTGGATATACTATGTAAATAAATAAAGTAGCATAGTCAGTCATCTGATTAAACAGAGTTCACAAGGTCATTTTTTCCACAAATGTACTTAAATCTAATAAATTAGAACAGGTTAAAAATAAGGTGGGTGGGTGTGGGTGGGTGGGTGGGTGGGTGTGGGTGTGGGTGTGGGTGGGTGTAAATTGAGTAAAACTGCCAAACAATTATAAATATAAAAAGTCTAGTTCTACGTTTCTAGAACTGGCACTTTCCATGCACTATTAATAAATTCAACAGATGTGTCAAGGAACAAGGATTGT